AGGCTTCGCGTGCAATACGCTTCTCGTTACGCAATCGGTCCGCTTGTCAGCGCCAAGTTCAAACCAGGTCACCCGCGCGGTCGCTGAAAAAACGTCGAACGTGTTGTGCGCGCGAGAGAATCCAGGCTGGAGAAATATATCAGCGAGTTCGAACGAATATGCGGCTCTTGCTTCGCGGTTTTACATCTCCGGTTTCGCTCCGGCTTTTACTTTTTAATAACGTTCTCACGACTACTCCCTCGGTGCTCCGCTTTCTCAACTTTCGAAGCTGCTTGTGTCGAAAAGCTTGACAAAATTCGCGCTGGAATGCTTGACGTGCTATCCCGGGGAGATTGAATAAGACGTCAGATAAGGGTACGTTATGAAAGAAGCGACGCCGGATACGCTGCGAGAGTCTTACAACGATGCTTTTATTTACCGTAATAGTTGGAAAGTCGGCGAGTATAATGCTACGTAATCTGGGGGAGCTGATGCCTCGAATAATCTCTGTGGCACAGTTTCGATCGTTTTATTAAGTTAAATAGTGTACATTAAGTTGATATGATCGCACACACACACACACATACGTCGATCCACTTATTACTTTTTAAGTCCATACAGTTTGTAGAGTGTGTATATTGCAACAGACATGCATCTCAGAAACTCCTTATTATTGACGCAATTGTAAATAATGGCAAAGCAAACTGTGTCGCAGGAAAGAAAGCTTGGCGAGAAGCCAAGAGACAAAATATATCGTATATCGTAGAACTCGATCAATGAGTCATTTTAGACGGACCTCAGTAAAAATCTCCGAAAACAGCCCCCCTCATAAAATTATTAACAGCTTTCCCAAACTGGAACATCTCGAAGAGATTCTTGCAATGTAAGAGGCTGCGCTCGAAATCTATTAATAAGATCGACGTCATTCGCGGTCACACCCATCTGCAGAAAGGACCGAACCGGTTCGGAAAAAATGTGGATTTACCGAATATCGCTCTGTCGCAACACGAGTATTTTACTTAGCGTGCATTCGTTCACATAATTATAACAATATAATTACATATAGAAAAGTCTATGAAAAAAATGTGTCTCATTGAGGAGCATTAAGTAGAAAAGAAAATCGCAAAGGCAATAATTTGCTCGTATAATCAATAATTATACTGCTGGGGTAATTGTTACTTAAGATTTTTTTCGTGTAATCCTTACAATTTACTTTCGCTCGTCATCGTATGCGGAAAATCGTCAAGCATCGCAATGTCGAGCCGCCGACGCGGCCAATCGACCATCGCGGTTATTTACTCGGCCGACGTTAATTTCCAGCGTTTCCCTTTGTAATCAGCGAAACTACAGGTTCTACACTAGAACCGCGACCTCGGCAATGCCGAACCTTTCGCTATCGATCTAAACCGACGCCAACGACGACCGACGACTACGTCACGCTCACTCGAATCGCGCTTAATAAATCGCCGCGTCGGAATAACGGAGTGTATTGCTTTCCGCGATCGTATCGACAATCGTAATGCGTAATATTAAGTGAATTCCGGAAAATAAAGCGGACGTGTAATCTATTTCTTCGCGGGTAAACAGCGGGTAAACCGCGATAAAACGTCATCGAGAACGAGAGGCGAGCGAACGACGCGCATTTACGAGTGCATTAGTATTATCAGACAGAGAAAGAGAGAGAGAGAGAGAGAGAAAATGCGAGCGCCGAATACGAGCCTTATTTATATCCGTTAAGGAGTGCAATCGTTATTAACCCTCTCACTCCCGATGTGGCTATGTGGCGAGCCATTCTAAAAGCGCCTCAATTAAAAGCTCATATCGGTTATCCTCCGCGTTATTAAAAGCGAAGTGCGGTTTCGCAAGAGGCATATCGGTGTTTCTGGAGTAAGAGAAATTCGCATCTTCTATCGTACCTGCGAATACCGCATCAGTCGATGCTTTCACATAGATTGAGATCTAATTGAGCACGTTTATGCCTCTCCGGCACATATACCTCGAGCAAAACGTATCCATATGCTTCCGAGAAAAATGTTTGAACCTTGGGTTTATGTGTTCTTTTTTTCTTTTTTCTAAAAACGGTAACGATCCAAATTTTCGCTGTAATAAATGAATCTTCTTCTCCGTAAATTAATTCCGTTGATCGCGCATTGTGACGCGCAACCTTCGATACTGAATGTAATCGGGCGATCCGTGAGAAAGTATCGAACGAATCAAGGAACCCGAATTTTTTTCTTTTTTTACTTCTGCCGGATATCACGTGGAGCCGGGAAGTTCAACTTAATTAAACGTCGTTTCTCTCCGCAACGTCTCTCTAATTCGGGAACGAGAGAGAGCTAAAAATAGGTACTTGCGTTTACACACACGGGCGTTCCCAGGTGCGGTGGCGCCAAGCATCCCGCGGAGAATCACTCCGGAGGATCGACAGGTCCTGTCACTCCTCGCGGGTATCCTTGATACGTCGCGTCGCTCACTCACTGGACGCTGCACTCGCGCTCCTCTTTTCTCCCTTTTCCCTTATTCTCCCGTTCTCTTTCCCTTTTTCTCAATCGTCGTGTCGTCTCCGCTCGCGTCATAGAGGCCTCTTTTGCGCGACGGCTTTATATCGCGTTCCCAGCCGCGCGCACGCACTCCCGGTGAAAACCGGATCCGAGGGCCGCGCGCAATGGTATGCGTCTTGTCACAGAAAGTGTCCGCTGCTCGCGAAATCACTGCACTTTGGAGAGCACGCTCGGTTACGGAGAAGTGTCGGGACGATTGGAGCGATATACGTATATTTCTCGTTTCTTCCTTTCAAATCGAACCCGGTGCGCGCTTATTGACAGCCTCGGCGAGTTCCGGCTTTTTAACGCGCGACGTTGCAAGGATGAAGGACGAGTACACGCGGCATCGTCGGCGGGTACGAGGAAGGTGGACGACAAGTCGCTCTTGTTTTCCGTTTTTACATTCCCCCGCTATCTCCGATATCGGTTTAATGTCCCGCATTTGTCGAGTATACTTAGACGAGTTTCCCGGCGGAATCTCTCGCGCTCGCGTTACCTGATAGTAGGCAGATAAGTGTAGGCAGCGGATTATCGGGAAGGAGGTAGAGTTAACTGAATCAACGAGAATTGCGTGGGGAAAAGTAAAACACCGGACACACATACACTGGTTCTGGGCAGAAAAAAAAAAAAATCTCAGATATCGATGTTATTTGCGTCATTTTTGTTTGCGCAATGCGGCGATCAAGTTACAAAGTGTAGAGAACGAGAGAGAGAGAGAGAGAGAGAGAGATACTGGCGGTAACTCACGCTAGATCATTATCCGCGTCGCCTATACCGTCCACGCTTAGCCCGAATTAAGCGTTTGCTAATCGCGCTAATGCAAGAGCCTCGTAATACTTCCCTCATCGAGGAGAAATCAATTACGATAAGATACATAATCCCTCGAATTAATTAGCCACGAGCTGCTCTCGATGAGCGCTGGACGCGCGCGCGCGGTCCATCCTTTTTTAAGGTGGGCCACTTAATCGAAAGTCCAGGCCGCGGCCACTTTCTAAAGCGATTTAAGGCGCCTGCACATACACACACCGGCCGGGGCAGCCGGAAACTGCATGCTACCAATATCCGATGATGCGATTACTTTCGACTCGCTTTGCAGAGCGAGCGAAAGCCCGCGGCGCCGTGTAAACTCGCCGTTACTCCGAGTTTTCGAGTTTTCTAACGCGGAGCTCGCCGCACCGAAATAAACCCGGTAAGCGAAAGGGAGGAAAGATCGCAAAGCGCATAGTCCGTGAACGAGCCGCGCGTTCGTTGGCAAGAAGCGTGTATTTATCCCGTCACGTAAAAAAGAAAAAAGAAAATAGGTATCTGATTTGCGTTACGCCCAGGCGGCTACATAATTTCTGATCGAGCTGCCAACGCACACCTCGCTCGCACCATCCTTGACACCATCTGCCTAAAGGATGTACTAAAGGTCGGCACCGATGTACATCCTGATGTAATACCAGCAGACGTTCAATTTCACGACAGAGCCGTGCAATGCGTACAATGTGCGCGTAGATTTTCATTCGGCGAAGTGCCCCGAGCTTGCGAGCTTGCGATCAAACGATTTTGTTACTTCGAGAGAGCAATTTCTCTCTCTCTCTCTCTCTCTCTCCCTCTCGCTCTTTTTATCGATCGAGACGCGATCGGTACGGTATCATTTTGTTCGACTAGCCACTTCGTTGAAAAACGAACGCGAGAAGCTCGCTACCAAAAGTGACCAGAAGAAGAAGATGCTGAAGGCGCTAAAGGAGGTCTCGATGAAGGATCGCAAGAATCTCCTCGAGGGGGAGGAGAGGATGGCTCGGGACGGCAAATAAGACGAGTTTCGCCGGCCGCGACGAGCTGATTGGGAATAATGTCGTCGGTGAAAACGTACACGTTACATTACAGGCGAACATCTGTTTCGCGGCGAGCTACGCGCTCCTTACATCGCGCTGCCCCGTAAATCATGCTTCGGGATTATGTGAGCGCTTCGAGGGAGCCGACATGCGCGGGACGACGGGGAACAAGTTTAAGGATAAGCAGAGTTTAACGGAGACCAACGCTGCTCGCGTCCTTGAGAGACTAATCCCGGAGTGATTCCAGTTGACGATAGGCGAATAATCCCGGCCTTGACTCCCGGAGAGGCCGAAGCCACGTTAAGCCGCCCGATGATCGACGAGCCGCGAGGGTCGCAAAAAATCCACGACAGGAGTGAATTAGCCGATCCATCTCTCGGCGCTCCGGACCTCCTCCGCATCGTCGATCAAACGTCGCGAAAAAGATCGGCGAGCCTCGCGCGCGCCACCGGCGTTGCGTCCCCAGATTTCCGAGCGTTCTCTCGGCTCGCTCTCGAAACGGGACGCGAACTACCGTCTACCAGGATATGCCAGACGCGAGGGAAACGGTCTCTCCGGTGAGCGCGGGAAGCGGCGCGAAGCGGGACGCGATAACGAAGGGCGCAGGTAGAGCTGTTAGGTGCACCAAAATTGTTCCCGCAAACACACCAAGACTTACCCGTCCCCATGGCTGTCAGCAACAGCCTCCTTCCGCCTCAATCCTTCCGCGTATCCAGGATGCAATCTTGGCTGAGTTTGTGTTTCACTGCGCGAGGGGAGAAACTGTATTAAAAAAAAAACCGCGACGACGACGACGACGACCACCGTGGGTGATGCGTCGGGGGACGACTTCCACGTCCAACCGGGAGACCGCGGACGAACTGGTACCCGGAGAAGACTTTTGGTGAGACTTCGACGTGAGACAACCTCGACGTCATCGCCAGCCTGGTGTCTCATTGGCCGACGGTCCTCTCGGCTTGGTTGCTTGCCTCTCTCTTTCTGAGGGCTCCCTTCCTCTCCTTTTCCTTCTATGAGCTCCTCTCTCTGACCGCTTACGTACTCCTCTCCCTCTCCCGGCCTCCTCCTCCTCCTCCTCTTCCTTTTCCTCCTCTTCTTCCCTCTCGTGCTCTCTCTCTCTCTCTCTCTCTCGTTTGGCTCTCTCCTTCCTGTGCGGCCGATCGAGATATTCCCGTCTCGCTCTGTCGCACTCCCACGAGAGAGTGCTAGACTTCGCATTGGAGTCACTACGTGCGCGAAGTCAGTGAGCTCAACGCCTGGAACCGATCTCCCCGCCGCGACTCGCGCGAAGGTCTGTATAAGGCATACGAGGCGTACGGGTAGTCGCGGCTAAAGTGTCTCGCTGGATAGACGATACTGTAGGTAAAGGTCAGTTAGCGTTATCGAAGATAGACTCGGTACCTCGTACATATTTAGAAGGTTAACGGGTTACCGCATTCTTCGGACCCTAAAAAGTTACGCCGATAGCTGCGAAATCCTACCGTGTGTCATACCTATGTTGACGACAGTAGCGATTAGGCATTAGTATATTGATGGGAGTAAATATGCATTGAGAGAAGCGGAAGAAACTTGTGTAAGAATGAACATCTTCAAATGCGAGCCGCTCGAAATAGAGATAATGTCAAGATAATATATATATAGATAGATAATATGTATCATAAGGTTCTTGGATGAACCACTTAGGTCACTGAAATGTCCGATTATGCATCGAAATGCCACACGATCCTTGCTTCCTGGCTTAATTCGCATTCTTTGGTCGCAATTTAGCAAAGATAATAAAATATGAAATAAGACCGAGAGCCACCAAACAAATTGCGAGATAGATGCGCCACTCGAATTGATCGCTGGCGGATTGCGTAATGCTCCTCGCGACCGGGGCTGCCGGCGACCGTGCTGAAAGAATCATAGTTATTATCCTCAAGGTAACAGGCATCCTTCCCGAAAGATTCAAGGTCACCGATCGGGCTCGATAAGAAACTGCGTTAAATGAGAACTGAAGTCATCCGAGCTGAGTATATCGCAGCTATCTGAAATTCACATTCACCTGCGGATCGAGAGTAATTTTTTCCATTCGCCACGACAATGTGTACGAGAGGTGTACAAAGCGTCTTAAAATTACCATACCGGTTTCCCACCACGGTGAATATGTAAAAATGAAAGATCGAACCGATATATGTCAACGACGTGACGACACAACATGCCATCGGTGATAACATCTCGTCGAGCAAGGTTTCCCCATAAGCAAAATAAATAATTTAAAAGCTGGGAAATGTGAGCGGTAACGCTAAAGATATCTTATTTGGAATATGCAGCCGCTTCGTACAAACTGAGGATTCGTCAGCAAAGCTCAAATCTCTTCCTTTCTCAACAATATAAATAATAAGGGAGCGCGTTGCAGGCAGAATCGTCGCTTCCTGCAGCGGGCAGATCGCTGCTCAGATTCGCGGAAGTCAGATCTCATGGATCGCTGCTCGATGCCTCAAAAGATTGCACCGTGCAGCACGGATCGTTGCGCCGATCCGCGGAAGAGGAAAAAATTCATAGGATCCGGAGATCCTAGCAAGGTAACTACGCCGCGCGTCGCGAGTCCTTATACGTTGTGAGCATCCGGACGAATGCCGTCTCGTACATGCCGCGTATTCTTGTCGGAACGAGAAGGACGAAAACCATACCTGGGGTGATCCCAAGGCTATCGCGGGAATTCACGATTCGATCGAACTCGAGGCGATCGAAAGAGGCAGCCGAAAGAGATCTAATCCACGCGTACGTTCCTTGAAGATACAAAGAGAGAGAGAGAAAGAGAGAAAGATTTGAACCTTCACATCTTTCCCACCAGCTATGAATAGGCTGTATTCAAACTTAATCCTACAGTGAAAACGTTAAATAAAATTTCTCCTTATAAAAAGCGTCGCGAATTGTAAGTAATTCGGATTCGATAATCTCCCAATATAGAATAAGAGGACATGGATTCGACTGGGATAACGTCAAGATATTAGACGTGGAACATTCTTATATAAAAAGGAATGTATTCAAGATGTTTTTCATAAAACGCCAGAAAAACAATCTTAATTTACACGAAGACCCGATAAATCCAAACAACTTTTATTCTCATATTATCGACAGATTACCACAAGTTTACACTTTTATCTCCGTTTGTTCATTTTGTTTTTACTGTTGTGGCCAGTTTCATGACACTATTCAAATCCGACGACACACTTTCATATTTGTACAAATTCAATTTTTTCATTTATGTTTTTAACTCTTCAATGTTTACCGCAAGCAACGACCAGCGTCGGCTCTTATTTGCCTTTCTCCTTCTTTTCTGATTGTGACTCCTCGGACACGCTTAATTCGGCCCCTGAACTTGAATCTTGAAAATTTTACCTCGAATTTGAGCGAAGCTTCGAAACTTTACTCGAGTTTAGGATCCTCCAAGCAATTCTGGCTGTTTAGTTCCTTTCTCGCTCAGTTTCTCCTTCTTTCGACCGTGTTCTTCGTAATAAAGAAAAAAGAAATCCGAAATATCTCGTTTCGTTTCCTCCTTATTCATAACGATCTGCACGCGTCATCTCAACCGCGTGATCTCAAGATAACGGAGAAGATAACACGAACTTTACACGGTTCTAATGACACCGTAGCCCGCAGAACCTGCGAGCACGGTGGTGTCGGTGAACTCGGAGGCGCCTCAGGGCATTTCGCAGACGCGGGTCGCGAGAAGAATCTGCGGACGTGTTGGTATACAGTTTGCGCCATTATGTTTAATTTATCGCGCGCTCTTGTACGCGGTCTGACCGATTCGTGCGAGAACCTCTCTCTCTCTCCGTAAGGCCGCAAGGCACGCGGGACAATCAGCGTTATGAATAAAGCAGAACGTAAAGTACAGAACGCGCCGAGGCACGAAGCGGCTTTAACGAACACGCCTGCGCTGAATAAACTGTTCGTCGCGGCGAAATAAACAGGCGCTTCCTAAATTTTACAATGTTTCCGTGACTGCGGTAAACGCTCCAAGGAGCGGGTTAATTTCTGCAAGAAGGGCAAGCGCTTCTTGAACCTTGCTTTTTTTCCACACTGGGAGAACAGAGCCCCGAGAATGTACGAATATTTAAGGAAGAAAACGTCTGTATTCCAGCAGGACTGACAGCTGCGGAAAAATTTATATTAAAGATTGCGCAACTATCGCGTAGATTGCGAATTTTCACGCTGCACGAGCTCCTGCTGGGATAATCCGAACAGAATTTACTCGATCGACTCGCGCCGGTAATTTGCCCGAGCGTAAAAAACACAACTGTCTTGATTTAATTTAAAGGACGCAACTTGTTTACTTCCATTCGATGAATTTGTACGAGAATTTCATAGATTTCTTCCTTCTTAGTTCACACATGTCTCGACTATATCCAATTCGCTTCACGCGCTGTTGTTCGGGTTGGATTCATCAATACGTCGCCCGTCCCAATTCCCCTTTCGGCCGGATTACGCTCCGCGTACACGCGTAATTCTCCGGCGAGTCGATTACAGGTCGAAACCAGCGATTAAGTCCTGCCGGGGGTGTCAGCTGTGTACGCGGATACGGAAAAATGTATTCACCGTGCTCTCTCGTAATTCATTCGCATTCAACGCACGGATATATAATTGAGCTGGAATGAAAAATGTCCTCGCTGACTCACTTACATTCACTACAGCTCGCTTTTCTTGCGGGCTCCTAATGATCGTACGATGCAATTGCTCCCTTGTGTCCGCCGCTCGTTTTCCACGGCGGGCGCGATTATTCACCCGCGGGATTAAACGGGCTTTGAGAAGCCGACGGGCGAAAAAGTTGTCTCCGTCGTGCGGTGAGGGGTCACTCTTTCTTACCCGGCTGGGAAAATTACAGAGACCGCGGAATTACCCGCGGAATCTTTAGTAAGTAACGCGCAACGGATGATTTTACCCTTTACGCTCACTGAGCTGCGCCCGAAGTAGTAGTACTGTTAGAGTTAATATGCGTACGCGCGCCGCATGAGGACATAACGTCCTCGCGCGCGCGCGCAACATGCAAATGAAGTTTTCATAAAATAATCACCGTGGAGACGCGATGATAAAATGATCATAGTGCTCGGCAGACGAGACTGGAGACTTCTACGTTTTATTGACGCGCCGTAGAGTGGACGTCGTGCCGATGTCCGCGCGTGGCGCGCGGCCCTACCTTTGCGATCCTCCATCTCCTGCCTTCGTCCTCACCTCCGTTCGTCCTCCAGCGACACTGCGATACCCCAAACGCGGCACTTGGCATCTGAAGATTTCAATCCAACCGCGCGACCGCACCGATGTTGCGTTCCGACGTGTGGAAGAAGAGAAGAACGAGTTTAATCGGGAAGAACGTTTTAATCGGGAGGAAGAATGAACAAAGATAGCGCAAAGACTCTGAAGGTAAACGAACAATAACAAGAAACGAACAAAACAAGAAAGGCTAATGTACAGAGAAAAAGATTCCTTTGGATTTGATGCTGGCTTAACTTGAGTTTGTTTAATATAAACGATACAATTTAATACCAATTATCATCTTGCTTGAACGAAAATGTTATTCTTCCGCTAAAGCGAACTATGTTGTTTGATAAAGAAAACAATGTTATTTAAAGGAAATAATATTTTTTGCAACAAAGAAAATTATTTCATTACATATTAAACATTGTTTCACATTGTTTCGCAGAAAAGGTATTTAATATTTTTCTAACATAACGTTGCTTCTTTCAAAGAATTCATCGCCCGTGACCACCATTGCAATGCTCGAATGAAAATACAAAAGAAACATGTTATTTAACGTAAAGATATTTATCGTTCGAGAAACCAAACAATCCCGTCT